ATGACATTTACTGTGACCGTAGCGATGCCGTCTATAACCGTTTTTGGCTTTTCAGTTTCACTTTGCTGCGTCGTGGAAACCAACAAAAGTATTTACATTGCGATTTAAAATGTTTTTCAATACTTTAGACAAATGTCATATAATATTTTGTTTTCATGTTTTGTACTTTTGTTCCATTATTTTTAATTAATATGGACCTCGTAGAAAACAATAAAAATGCAGGTTGGAAACTTCAAAACTAAATATGATTTAGACATAGATAATGTTTTCAATGAGATGAATGAAAATTTAATAGGTAAAGAATTCCCAACATCTAGCAACAATTGGCTCTTGCTACTTGTAGTTCTTGAAGACCCATTACCTTTTCCCCAATTTTTGTCATTAGATTATATAATTCTAACTATTCAAGATTTTTAATTGGACAACTAAAATATAATTTTAGTATCAATTTCACCATAAAAACCATTGTAAAACTAACACCGTCATGTTTTGATCTATTTTTTTCCGATTTTTTAAGGATTCTAAATTGGGAAAAGGTGATTGTGAAATTTTTTAAATAAATAGAGGAATTCTGCCATACTTTAAAATATGAATGTTTTAGTTTTTCATCTTTATTGTACAACTGAATTTGTACATTTAAAATTATTGTACAAATTCAGTTGGTACACAAATTCGGGATGGGATTAGGTGCTAACCCTTATAGGGGTTAGCACCGTGATAACTAGTAAAAAACGCTACTAAAAATAACGAAATCACTACGGATTATTACAAAATCAATACAACATCTAAGCTAAATCACTACTAATTCAAACTAGTAGTAGTTTTTCTCTTGGTTAGGACGGTGCTAACTATTGTACAATTAGCATCGTAGCCGTTCCCCACAAATTCAGTTGTTGCTTATACCTTTATGTCCAAATTCTTTTATACTACAAATTGAATTATATCATAACGTTAAAAGTAGGAGGTGGGCAACGGTCTGGTTCAATCTTGATCGAACCAAAGTCAAGAGAACTGCGGTCCAATAGAGAAAGATATATTAGGACCAATGACCAAACAAACAATGCATTTGATCTGCTTTGATCCGTTTTGGTCTGGTCCAAATGTTAATTCGGTTCATTTTTCTCCAGTATCAAAAAAATTCATGGAACCAAAGACAAGACCATATTATATTTAGTTCTGTGTGGTCCGGTCCAACCGTTGTTTTGGTCTGGTGTCGTTGATATGGACCAAACCCCTGTCCCTATAGTTAAAAGTACAAACTGAAATTGTCTCATATATAAAGATATAAATTCTCTTATGGTACAAATTGACTTATAATATTAATATTATGGTACATGTTTAATTGTATCTCGAAACACCAATATTAGAATGACTCAAATAACTAACATTCATGTAATATGTTCAAAGCGTCATGAAAATAATAATTAAAGCCTCATACAAACTATAATAAGCAAATTGAAATTATGCTAATCAAAACAATCACCGGGGATTTTTTAAAGAAACCGGCAATAGCAGGGGAAAAAGGGCACGACACAGGTGCCAACACGACACATTAGAATCCCCGCCACTATAAATGAGCGAAAGGGAAGGAGAGGCACGCTTGATATTATGAAAAATTGAGGAATGGGAGAAAAGAAGGGAAGGGGGCACAAACCATGCCACAACCTCAAAGCATGTTACAAACCTACAACCTCCTCTAATCTAGGGATGGCAATTTCGACCTGGTTTGTTTTACCCGACTTATTTGGCTTGTTTTGGGGGGTGGGGGGTCCGCCCGCCACGTAGGCGGGGCAGGGCGGGCATGAGTACCTCTCAACGACGACCTGCCCTGACCCGCCCCATTCTCAACCCGTTCTTGTCTAAATTACATGTAATCTTAATCAAATTACTTATGATTTTTCTTTCATTACCTCATATTTTAGCTACAATAAAGTTATAAATAAGTAAAAACCTCAATTTCTCCAATAATTTAACTATATTTTATCATATTATGATTTGTTTCTTGGTTTTTTAACGAAAATAACTAATATTTCTAATATTTTTCATATAAATTGCATACCCATTGGGTCGACTTGTCCCGACCCTCGCCACATGATAAATGACTCGACCTGCCACGGGGCGGGTGTGGGTATCAAGATACCCGCTCCGGACCTGCCCCATTGCCATTTCTACTCAAAGCATGCCATAACCTCAAAGCAGGTCACAACCTCAAAGCATGCCACAGCTTCCTCAAGCATGCCACAAACTCAAAACATGCCACAAGTAGTGGACCTGTTTGTAAATTTGAAAAGGTTTAGGTACCAAAATGTAAGGGGGGAAATTCAAGTACTAAAATGTAATTTTTCATCGATATTTTTAGTATTCGAATATAAAAAATAATTTTAGGTACTAAATATTAATACCTATTAAGTTCAGGTACCAAAACTTAATTTGTAAATGGAACATGGTAAAGTAAAGTGAATGGAAGGGGAAGGGGAAGGGAGAGGGGTTAAATTACTATAATATGCTTAATGAATTTGTTAGTATGGTGCTAACACTTAAGAGCGTCAATATCCGGGTGGGACTAGGTTGCTAATACTTTTTTTGTTAGTATTGTGCTAACACTAGCTCCAGCCAATCAGAACATTTCGTTTGGAAGACTTTTCCAATTAAATGAGTTGACCACAATTAATTAGGGGGAAGGGGAAGGAGGGGCACGGTAAGTATTATGTAAAATTGAGGAAGGGGGGAAGGAAGGGAGATCACGAACCATGCTACAACCTTCTCCAAGCATGCCACAACCTCAAAGCATGCAAGAATTACAAATCTTGCCACAAACTCAAAGCATGTCACAAGTAATGGACCTATTTGTAAATTTGAAAAAGTTTAGGCACCAAAATGTTAGGGAAAATTTTCAGTCTACTAAAATGTCATTTTCCATCAATATTTTTAGTACTCGAATGTAAAAAATAATTTTAGATACTAAATACTAATATTTATTAAGTTCAGGTACCAAAACTGGAATTTTTTAATGGAACTTAGAAAAGCTACGTAAATGGAAGGAGAGGAAAATGGAATAGTGATGGCAATTTGAACCCGTCCCGCGGGTATTACCCGACCTGACCCGCGATGGGGCGGTTATTACCTTACCCGCGATGGCGTGGGGCGGGGCATGGGTATCTACTTCCGACTCGCCCTGCCCCGCCCCGTTCTAGACCTATTTTATCTGAATTTCTTACGGTATCTATACATATTTCTCCTATTTTGACTTTTATTCAACTAGTTAGAGTCAATATTTCAAACTGTAAGACTCAATTACCCATTGTATTATCAATATTTTTCTTTCATAGAGTGTTTTCCCCATTGTTTTGTTGTAAAAAGTAAAATTTGTGTATATCTTTTCCAAATAACATGTAAGAGTGGGTCGACTCGCCCCGTCTCGTACCCGCGCGGGTTAACCTTTCTCGACCTGTAGTAGTGTGGGGCGGGACATGGGAAATGAGTTACCCGCCCCATAATTTGATATGTTATTTTATTTGGTATATAATAGTAAAATAATTTAATTATATGTTTATATTATTTTCAGTGTTATGAATTGTGATTTACATTTGTACTTTCTTGCTAATTTGGTTCACTATTAAAAATAAAAGTAGATGATTTGGAAAAAAATTATCAACCTATTATTAAAATTTTGTTCGCTATTTTATTTATTCATGAATATAGCAACTAAAAACATAACATACAACATTAGGAAGATTAATTGGATTACTAATTAGGGTTACTAATTTTGTTTACCTCCTCGTAACATTTTTATGTATCAAATAAAACGATCTTATATAATATTATTGAATTTTCGTCCCTAATAAGACTTATATTGCATAACACACAGATTTCTACTTGCAATTAATGCATTTAAATTAAAAGAAAGAGTTATACGTATAATATGCTCCTCTACTATGTCGTTTTATCAAGCATGCTCTTCTATTATTTTTACATCAAACATGCCTCTGTACTTTGGAAAAATTATCAAACATACCCTTTTGTTAAAATTTTCATCCGAAAAACCTTTAACCACGGTCGAACTTTGGTTTGGAAGACACAAATGTAAAAAATATCCTTCATAATTTCACTTTAGAATTTTTTTGGTTCTTTTTATAGCCAAATAATTCTAATAATTTCACTTCTACGAGACCCAGAAAAAAACAGGGGAAAAAGTGATATTTCCCTTCCCATTTGCCGTGGTCGGGTTCTGTAGATCTTGGTTCAACCATGATTGACGATTTTTCAATGGAAATTTTAACAGAAAGGCATGGTTGATAATTTTTCCAAAGTATAGGGGCATGTTTGATGTAAAAAATAATAAAGGGGCATGTTTGATAAAATGACATAGTAGAGTTTCATTTTATACCTATAACCTTAAAATAAATTAACACAACGTGAAAAGTGACCCCAATTAATAATTTGTGTTCACTCATAATCTCCAATTAATCTTATCAACCACCTTCTTAAACCCTCGTTATTAGGCGGTAGAATAAAAGCATGCACAACCGTCAACAAATAAATGAAAGTCATTATAACAATTCGGGGTTAAAGACACATTTGGTCACTGAGATTATAAAATCAGGACATGTTTAGTCACTAGAAAAAGTTAATATCAAATTTGGTCACTACAATTACTTAAACTGGACACATTTAGTCACTCGCCGTTAGTCTCCGTCCAACTCCGTTAATGAAGTCCGTTAAGTGCTGATGTGGCAAACAGAATTGCCTAATCAGCCGGATATAACTCAACAAAAATAAAACCCGACCCGCCACGTCATTATAACCCGCCACGTCATTAAAACCAACCCAACCCCACCCAACCCTTCTTCCTCCTTCCTCCCACCTCGGCACCTCCCACCTCCTTCTTTCCCCAAAACCACCACCGCCGCCGCTCTCCTCCTTCCTCCCACCTCCTCCCGCAAACCTGTTCGACCTAACCCAGCAGACCAATCCTTCACCAACAAGGCCATTGACGTTCACAAAGAATCCCCCAAATGTTCACAATTGCATCAGAGAGAAATGCAAGACCAAGGAAAGCACAGAGCAAACTAGGCAGCAAACCAGAATCAAGATTTCGTTACAAAACAACTTGGCGGAGAAGGCGGCGGCGTGGTGGTGCTACTTATGGAGATACTTCACAGCAACAATCCTCCCGTCGAACAGCTGCCCCAAGTAAACCGACCCGAACCCACCGTCCCCAATCTTCCTCTTCGCGAATCCTCCTCCGCAACAAGCGCCTTCAAGTGCCTGGACCTGAAAACCGCCGCCACAATCAAAACCACGAGAAGCAAACACATCACCGTGAAAATCGAGCAGAGGATCGCAATCTGATTCGTATCCTCGTCGCGAATCCATGGCGAAATCCGGGCGGCGGGGCGGAGCGAAATCCCTGCTGTGATGGGTGGCGGAGCGGGGCGGAAGAGCAGGCGGGGAGGAGGCGGAGAGGGGTTTTGACGAGGGAGCAGTCGGAAGGGCAGAGAGAGCAATTGGGGAGGCTGGGAGGGGAGCAAGAGCGGAGGGCGGAGAGGCGAGAGCAGGAGGAGTCGGCGAGGCGGAAAGCGGAGCCGGAGAAGTGGATGAATGGAGGGAGGGCGGAACAGTTATGGCGGGGGAGAAGGAGACGAGGGGAGAGGGAAAGGGAAGAGGAATTAGGGCGGAAGGCTAGGACGGAGAAGGAGGTGTTTGCGAGGGAGAGGATGGAGTGAGGGGAAGCGCATTTGAGAGTGAAGGCGGGGTGGCCGCAGCCAGGGGAGGAGGAGAATGGGTACGGCGGCGGCGATGGGAATGGCGGGCAGGGAGTGGTTTTGGGGAAAGAAGGAGGTGGGAGGAAGAAGGAAGAAGGGTTGGGTGGGGTTGGGTCATGGGTTGGGTTGGGTTGGTTTTAATGACGTGGCGGGTCGGGTTTTATTTTTGTTGGGTTATATCCGGCTGATTATGCAATTCTGTTTGCCACATCAGCACTTAACGGACTTCATTAACGGATTTTGACGGAGACTAACGGCGAGTGATTAAATGTGTCCAGTTTTAGTAATTGTAATGACCAAATTTGATATTAAATTTTTCTAGTGACTAAACATGTCCCGATTTTATAATCTCAGTGACCAAATGTGTCTTTAACCCATTTAATTATAATAAAAAATGTTACCACTAGCCTTTCTCCTTTTTTCTCTCCGAATTGGAGGATGCCCAGCACAGTAACTCTTCCATTCAAAATCCTTACCTTCCTACTGTGCAAAATTGGGAGAACGGAGCAAAAGATATTGGGAAGAACACTTTCTCTCCGCAACTTTCTCTCCACTCCTTTTCCCTTCCAAGAAAACACAGTGTTAAAAGGGAAGGTGAAGGGAGAAAGGAGAATACTATAATACTCTTAATAAATGTGTTAGTATGATGCTAACACTTTATGATGTTAGCACATTTTCCACTCCCTTAGCAACCGCCAGATGCCAACCATATAATTTATGGGTCACATTGGACAATAATTGTATATTTTTTGCTCAATTTTTCAAAGTGACTAAATTGTTCATTATTTTGAATGATTTTTTGAAAAATTTACTCAAATTTTTTCGAAAATAATTTGATAGTCAAATTTTAATTTTTCGTCTGTTTACTGTTAGTTGACTCTGACGTGACAAATATGTGTACACATCGGTCTATATTTTTTTCTTATGATTTTATCGAATTTCCAAATTATTTATTATTAATGGTACAAATAATTGAATTATAATAAATAGATTAAATGATTATTTACCCATACTACTCATTAGTCGTTACATCCTGGTACCACTTGGTATCACTAGGTAGTAGTACCACCATCGTTTTTAACTCGAAAAATGATAAATGACGATTAATATATTTCCACTATCATATATGTAGCCATTCTACTAGCGACAGAACGGAGCCAGGATTTCGAACACATATAAAACCCAAAAATATAAAGCATTTACATCTGATTTCATATGTGATCACAAGTACTATGCAGTATTGGATGGCCTTGTTCTTGCTGCCTATGAAGGTTCTGAAAGAGATTGAACAAATTTGTAACAGATTTCTATGGGGAGTGGGAGGTGCAGAGAAGAGGAAGAGAGCTCCAGTGTCCTGGGACAAAGTGGCTCTACTCAAGACAGAAGGGGGATTGGGAATAAGGGACTTCAAAACATTGAACAAAGCATGTGTAATACGTCACCTATGGAATTTGCTGGCAGAGGCAGGGTCTTTATGGGTTGCGTGGATACTGAAGTATAAAGTGAAGGGTCTTCAGGTTCATGGATCTGGCGGCGCATTCTTAAATGCAGGTGGGTCGCATTCCCTCATCTGTAAGGAGCTGGAACTTCATTGGCATGGGATGGTAAGGTTCTCTCCCGATTTTCTGTTAAAACTGTATATTCTTCTATTCGTACTCCTTCTCCTGGTGTTAATTGGGGGGGGAGGCTGTATGCGGAAAAGCATATATACCAAAGTACAGTGTTATAGTGTAGCTGATTGTGATGGATCGAGTTAATACGAAGGATAAGCTAAGGCAGTGGGGGATTAATGTGGATAGCAGTTGTGTGTTATGTCCTGGTGCTGTCGAGAATAGAGATCATCTATTTGTGGAACGTTCTTTCAACAGGTTTATATTAACAGAATTGTTGAAGAAGCTGGTCCATATACCATTTCAGCAGGTATAGCGGATCATCTTACCTGGGCTTCTCGAGTATGGACTGGCAAATCGGACAGAGTTCAGGTTGGGAGAATGTTTTGGCTACTTTCCCTGAGTTTTATCTGGTGGGAACGTTGCAAAAGGTTGTATGGAGTCAAACCTATCTGCTCCCCTCATCAGATTGTGGCAAAGATTAAAGAGGAAGTCAAAAATTTTACTCATAATTACCAGATGTTGACTAGGGTGGTATAGATATACTTACAGTAGCTTTTTTTTTACATATGTAGTACCTACAAAATTCTACAAAAAGGTGTAACTGGAGAAAAGGGTTTTTTGCGAGTTGCATCCCCTAGTGCTTAATGATATTTATAATTAACCATAGAAAACCATTTAAACTTATTCCAAAGATTGGCCTTTTTTAAAAAGATAATTGGTATTACCAACCCCACAAGTATGATCATGTTCACATAGTGGCCAAAAGCCAACTACAAAGATCGAACAAATCAACTAGATGTATTGAGAATGCCTTTTTATTCTAAATTTAACCATTTTAAATAATCACACATTAAATTTTCAAATAAATTTACTTGCAAAGAGACTTGTCAAGAAAATAAGGTTTAAAACATACAGGAGATTTAGCTACGAAATTAAAAAAAATAGGGAAAAGGTTTGTGGGGAAGAGCCAATTTCAAGCAAAATAAACAACAGATTGCGGGGGAGAGCCAATTCTAAGCAAAAAATCACATCACAAATGACACAGGCTGGGATAGAACTCTCATCTTCCCTATCACAATCAACACTTTGAACATGCCAAACCACTACGCTAAACTAGTTCTTTGTAATACCTCATTTCTGTTGGTATTTATAAGTTTAGGGGGGCCATGGCCCCCCTACATACAAGCTAGTTCCGTCCCTGCATTCTACACTCTGTTGTGTTTATACCACCATGATACACTTTCATGCCACGTGGTATGACTCGCATGAAACTACACCACGAATTAATCCCGACTAGAGCCCAAGTTTTTAAACTCTAGCAGGGTGCAGTATAGGGCAAGTATTTAAATTGTCAACCCGGGACGGTCCATGTACCCCTACTTCAATCACTTAAGTTGTTATCTAGCAAAACGGTTTTTTTAGGTTTAAAACTATGAGAACTACAAATGAAAACAAGCAAGTAAAGTAAATTGAGGGGAATTCTATATGAGAGGACCTCACTCGGGTCTTGCTTCCCCCTAACTACTACCATGGTATGTGAATTGAACGATTGCTATGGGCAAGGTAACTGCAAACCGCAGAGGGATGGAAATATGGTCATAGACCACACTCTTTACTGCTAAACCGAGGTATACATTATAGGTCGTGTCACTCGGCCCTCTTGGTTTAGGCAATCGGTGGTTGACTTACTCCCTCACCCAACTCAAGGGTTGGACGGCTTAATCGCACTTAACCAATTTGCTTAATTCAACATTCAGGTTTGCCCTAAATCAACCTAGTTAGGTGACTTCAAAAGCTGAAGGAAAACCAACTCGATTGAGTCTCCCTTGAAATGTGGATTTTCCTCACTAATCTAGGTTAAAGTGGCTAATTAGATTGCTAAGCACCAACATGCACAAACCTAAGGATGCTAAGCAAAAAACAAGCAGAATCCTTAGATTTCTATGCACAAGCATGCTCAATCAACATGAATAATACCTCAATCATTGAATTAAACAACACCCATAAACAATCATTCAATTCACATTAGCATTCACATTATTGTAGCTAGGGGTTACAACACCTAAGTGAATAGGTTGGCTATTCCATAGCTAAGCAAAAGAAAACAACAAAAAGAGAAGAAAGCACCATGAAGTGATGTCAATCTTTCCTCCTTGTTGCTTGAGACACACTTGAGATGAAGAAATCTTCAATCCTCTAGCTAGGAACAAGCCTAAAGCTCCTTCTTCCTCCTTTGATTTGCACTTTCTCACTCTAGAAGAAACCCTAACCTCTCACTAGAATCCTCTTTATTCTGAAAATGAAAACCTATCCTAAAAATGAAGCTCCCCTTCCTCTCCCCGCTGTTGTCTTCATATTTGTCCGAAAGTGACCAGTTCACGGATGCGTTGGCTAGTTCACGGCCGTGAACTTAGTGTCTTCCAAAACGCACCGCTTCACTTCTGGGGTTCACGGTCAATGGCCCCAGTTCACAGTCTTAGAGACCGTGAACTGCCTTGTCGTCAGTAACTTCTGGAACCTTGATGGATGCCTCGATGTTGATGGTTTGTGGTCCAAGTTCACGGTCTTAGGAGACTGTGAACTGCAACTTTTTATTGGACGCCTTCACTGCTACGAGGCAATTGTCACGGTGGCTTCAGACTTTTTTTGTTTTTTGCGCTTTTTGACCTCCAATTATCCCAAAATTTGACCTCGACCCTTCCACACGTGCTAGGACCTGAAATTTATCAAAACAAGCACAACCTAGCGTGAAATATGCCGAGGAACGATGAAATACTAAGCTAAATGAAAAAGAAATGAGGGGTAAAATGTGTACATTTGGGCCCGAATCATGGTATAATCTTTTGTACACATCAAGTTGTGGAGAGGGAGTGATACTATTTTAGTTTCAAAATATATAAAAATGTGTATCATTTTAAAGAGTGTGCTTTTTTTAATTTCGACTTAAAAAGAAAGGGATATAGGCCGTTTAAATTTGTTGCGAGAAAGTTAATAGCCTTTCATAAATGGTAAGTATATGGTTATGCATAGGAACTATTCTCGGGGAGCGGATAACTTGCATAACCATGTATAACCTTTCACTTACTATATTTATGGAAGGTCTCTAATTTTTCCCCAATATATTTTATTGGGTTATATCTCTTTCATTTTAAGTTGTAATTTATTTATTTATTTTTGCACATATAAATCATATGAATCATGCTTTTCAAAATGACATCCACTTTTATATATTTTGAAGTTCACAGCGAACCCGTTCTATTTGTGCAAAGAAAATTTCAAATAAAAACACATAAAAGTTGGTTAAAAAGTAAGAAAAATAAGAAAATATCATTAATTTCCATCTCTTAAATCTGATCATAGTTCAAACTAAGGGTGCATATCTAATTATGCATCCTATTTTGGAACATAAAAGAGAGTTCAATGCGTGGTCAAAATATCAATTGATCTCTTTTGGAAGTGGGATTTCAAGCTCACAATAAGCAGTAGATTTGACGGGAATTCTCACTCATTTTCTTCGAAGGAGATCCAGGTATTTCTTTGGCGGCAGGACAATCTCTTTGCTCGCCCGATAGTCCCTAAACACGAAACGGTCAAATGCGTGGTCAAAATATCAATTTAATTTTCAGGTTTTACTTGATCAATTATTACAAGTTCTGATAATTACAAAGTTGACACCTGCGTGTAGATAGTCGGTTGTAGCAATGACAATGGCTGTGTTTGGGGTAATTTTCATAATTCATTCTCATTCTTGCTTTCAAATATCCAAATTTATATACTCACATCATACACATGTGAGAAGGTTGTGCAACCTCATTTTTATACCCACGGTTTTCTAGGTATTTGTGGGTACTACCCACTCCTTATATCAAATATTACTATATACTTTCAATTCGATTTCTAGATCTTCAAATCAGATCTTCAAATATAATACTAAGCGAACCTAATAAACCATGAAATCAACAAAAATACAACCATTCTCAAGACCATTTGAAGTACTTAATCCATAAGCCACTCCAACTCCAACGCTTTTACTAAGCAATAAATAACTAACATAATCTTTATAACATAAGGGAAACAAGTGAAATACGAATTGAAGGAAAGAAATTAGTGTTTGGTTTGGGTAGCAAAATTAATTTTTAACTCTCATATATTTTGAATTACTCTCAGATTTGAGAGGTTACAATGTGAATATGATCTCTATATTCTTAATGTATGAAGCAATACTTTTAGTGGGGCGAACATGCGTATGAGTATAAGACGGAGAAGTCAAAACCAAACTCGCCTCAATCCTATTAATTTTTTTGTGAGTTTTACCCAACCCTGATTCATATAGTCAATATAGGAATTTCCCCATTTACTGAGTCAAAGACGGTTTAATACCTATATTTATGGATTCGATTGCCATGCATACTCAATTGTAAAAGCATGTCTTTGGGGTGGAACATTGAGGGCTTGTTTGCTTGTTGGATTTGAAAATGAGGATTTTGAGTTTTAGAAATCTTTGGGTTTATGATGAATTTGCTGCATTATAGATTTGAAAGAGTATTTTGTTTGTTTAATTTACCTTTTATTATGGATTTATTATGGATTTATCTCACGTGTGTGCCTCCCATTTATCAAGTCCCAATGTGGGATTTGCAGATCTGTGAGGTCCATGGATTTGGATATAAAAAATGGTCCAAATCCGTAAACACCACGAATTTGTGCCACTTAACAAACAATATCTTTGTGTCAATTCTATAATATTTGGGATTTGTGTGTCAAATCTATAGCTCAAATTTCACAAACAAAAGATATCCAAATCTTCTCGACCTGAATGCTCTCTGGTCACACGTGACCCATGACTAAATAGTTGCGATCCACTTGCGTATAACAAACCAATGGCGCTTATAAATTTTCAATCGCCGCTTTCCAAAACATATTTGTAATCAGCGTAATCAGTTGTGGTCCTCGGATTTGGTTTTCCAATACCCATTTCTTTTTTATTGTTTTTTCTTTTTGTGAAACAAAAGGCTAGTTGAACCGGCCTGCTTAAATAAATCATTTGATTGTTGAGCCACAAGGAGAAATCATGACAAATCAGCGGTGAATGTAACGTATAAAACGCGCTATGATCAGGTAACAAGGTTGTCAAACCGATTTACGTTAGTGTGCCGGTTTAGCAAGTGGAATGGTTCGACCGGTGGCACATATCGGTTTGTACCGGTTAATGCCGGTCAATATTACAAATAAAATTATAAATACTCATATTTAAACATGACATTTAACATCAATACCTAAACATTTATACTTGAATCCAACAAATAACATCAATATTTAACTTTTATACTCATAAAATAAATAATAAAATAATTTTTAACAATTAAATTCACTATAATAAGGTCATTTTACTTAGAGATTCGTATATCGATCATACTGGTCATACTGGTGGTGTCACGCCGGTTTTATGACTGATACCGGTTGAACCAGGTACAACCGGTGGCACGCCGGCCGACGTGACAGCCATGTCAGGTAACGAAGGTTTATAATTTATAGACAGAGACATGCCTGCATCGAATAGTGTGCTAACAATAATTAATAAAAATCTTATAATAACTATAGTTAATAAAAATATTATAATAACTACGGTTCATAGAAAGCGTCTATTCATAAAGAATGATAAGCTCAGAGCGTCAAAATAGTGTTAATATTATATTATTTAATTATAATATTATTTAAAATAATACCAAATTTTGACAAAATATTCCCACATTAAAAGATGACACAAATCTAAAAGTTATATCGCTACATGGCTGAAGATAGGGTGTATAACCATAGGTTATGCACCCATCAATAACCAAATCTGGATCTTTTATTTAGAAAATTCAGATCTAAGGAAGGAGAATTAAAGATCATTTTTATTTTTTCTAGTTTTCTTAATTGACTCATATCTTTTTCGTTTTAACTCGGATTTTAATTTTTTTTGAACAAATGGAACGAGTTCATCGTGCTCTACAAAATGAGATCAATTTTCAATATTTTTTGAGAAAAAAAAGTCTAGCCTCTCGGTACCAACTGCATACCATATGGTATCCTCTTCGTTTTTAATTCGTTTTTGAAAAAGTTTGCACAGAAGGGACGAGTTCATCATGATCTATTGGATCTACAAATTTCTGGGTGAACAAATTACATGACCAAAAAATACCACACAATACCATACAATACCACCCTGGTACGAGGTGGTATTGTATGTTATCTTCTTCGTTTTTAATTCGTTTTTGAAAACGTTTGCACAGAAGGGACGAGTTCATCATGATATATTGGATCTACAAATTTATGGGTGAACAAATTACATGACCAAAAAATAGCACACAATACCATACAATACCACCCTGGTACGGGGTGGTATTGTGTGGTATACAATGTTAAAAGTCGTAAATGACAATTAATATACTTCTACTATCATGTATTCAACCATCCTACAGTCTTGGTTTGTTCATACCACCATGGTACGTTTTTCTAACCATAGGTATGCTTTTATTTCGATACCAGTCAATACCATATGGTATAGACTGGTAAAAAATGACTCAATTTTTTGTTCGAAAAATATATTAAATTGGATATCATTTTGAAGAGCACAATTAATCTGATCTAACTGTGCAAAAAAATTAAATTTTGACTTAAAATGAGTGAGAAATCGTTCGTCAAAAATTAAAGAGGGGAAAATTAAAGGCTTTCCAGGAGAGAGAGGATGCTGATGTCATGCTGATGTGGACGGGTTACTCATAGTTACTCACCATAAGGTTACTGACCTGATCCATTACCATGGCTACATATCTACAGATGGTCAACATATTTAATTTCCTAAAAGTAAAATGTGAAACCAAATGATAAACTAAGAAGAAAAAAAAGTTCTATATTTCCCTAACTGATAGCCCAATAGCACAAGCCCAACAAGGTAAGAATTGCCAAGTCTTGCGGATCAGAAGAACTTGCCATAGTCCCAACCAAGTGTACCTATTTAGCTCGAAATTGGCTCATTCAAAACACTAAACACGATGCTCCAAGTCTCCAACCTACTCCCAAGCTGTCGCACGCTCCCCTGCTCCTTCTTCCCCATGTCAACAAAATCCTTCTCTATCGATCCCTTTCTGAAATCATTCACCACACCTTACATAATGCCGATCAACACCCTCTTCCCATTGGCAAATCGCCCACTTCTCCTTACAACCTTCCTATCTTCAAAATCCAGGCGAGTTCCACCAACTCCCCACATGCAGAGTTTGAAATCATTGATCCAGAACAACAGTATCGTGCGCGGACAAGAAGCCAACGGTCCCATCTCCTTCATCAGATCGGTTGTCATTAGGGGTGAAAGCTTGAACCAGAAGACCCACTGACTCGTCCCGACCCGTCCCTTCCCTAAGGGTCGGGACGAGTCAGTTTATCTACCGGGACAGATTAGAGACGAGTCATTTGTTGATCCTGTAAGGGTCGGGACGGGGAGGGACAACTTAGGGACGGGTCACGTTTTCACTCTGTGACCCTTAGCAACAACAAATATCTCACACCATATTGGAACTTTTTGTAAAGTTTTAAAAGTTTAGGTACTAACTTGTAAAAATAAAAAAATTTGGGTACCAAAACGTAATTTTACAATCAAAATTTATGCACTTATTTGTAAAAAACTAAATTTTAGGTACTAAATTGTAAGAAAAATAATTTTGGGTACCAAAACATAATTTGTAAAAAAATAGTGTGTTGATTAGGGTCGACCCACTGACCCGACCCATCCCATCCCAACCCTTGAGGGTCATATAGGGTCAAGAAGGAGACAGAGGCGGGACAGGTCAGTTATACATTTTGACCCTTCAGAGACGGGTCAGACAGGATCACGGACGGGACAGGCAAATTTTCAGCCCTAGTTGTCATCACCATCCACACATTTATTTTCATGTTTTTGACAAATTCATGAATTTTCTACGAAAAATCGCCCTCCAATAAATATATATTCGTGAATTTTGTATGAATTCCCTCAAATTCGCGTTTTTGTGCTCTAAAGCAGGACACTGGTTCTTGATCGGCGAATTGTGTGACCTAAGTTCATAGTAATTTCCTTTTTCATCTCGTTCTTCTCTTGTTGTTCTCTGCTTCCGCCCTCCACCCTCACCTCCATTTTTTTGTGTTTATCTTATATTTTCTATCTAAATTTATATAACCTTTATAAAAAAAAAAGTTGACGCTTGTCATCCTCACTTTACCATTATTTATAAAAAAATTCAACACATCACAAAAATACAACAAGTTACTTATAAAAAAATTATTTCAACAATAATTACCAAAAATATTCAACATTATAAAAAATTATTTCACCATACAAAAAAAAATTATTACATTGTCATCCTTTATAACGTTTTGTGCAGTTTTTGTTGTGATTTCTTGTTTTTTTGAACGGCTTGATTAGAGTTTTGGTGTGATTGCACACATTTTTGTCTGCTAGAGGGAACTTGTGATCACCTCTATGAGATATCTGGTCTGCTTCACGGAACTTGTTGTCAGTTCTATGAGGTTTCTGGTCTGCATCACGGATTTTGTTGTTAGCTTTATGAGTTTTATGGTATGCTTTAGACAACTTGTGGTTAACTTTATGAGATTTATGGCTTGTTCCAGGAAACTTGTGGTCAACTTTATGAGGTTTCTAGTTTGCTTTAGAAAATTTGTGGTAAGTTTTGTGATTTGCTTTCTATATTTTTGGTCGACTTCGGGTAACTTGTGTTAAGCTTATGATATTTATGGTTTACTTTAGGAAACTTGTGGTAAGCTATGTGGTGTGCTTCCTACATTTTTTCATATGCTTTATGAGGTTTCTGATATATTTTATGAGTTTTGTGGTGTGCTCTGTTATAATTTTGGTGTAGCCTGAGTTTTTAGTCTGCTTCATGAGAGTTGTGGTCAGATTGATGAGTTTTCTGGTATACTTTGAGAAACGTGTGGTCAGCTTTAAGTTTTCTTGTATGTTTTATGAGTTTTATGGTGTGGTGAGCTGTCGGTATGCTTTATTATGAGCTTTCTTATGTACTTTACGTTTTTGTAGTGTTTCTGGTTCGTGTTTCTTGTCTGTTTTATGATACTAGTGTTCGTTACAAGCCAAGGACGAGCCACGAAATAAATGAGCAGCATCACATGCGTCTTCCCCTCTATAATGTTAAAAAAAGAAAAATGTGCCCCTCTCTTTAAAAATTAGCATTAATTGTGATAAAAAAAACCCCTTAAATATAACAAAATGAAATGTTTCTGTTTGAGCCTAATTACATCCCCTTGCTTTTGTGCGCCTCCTCCTCCCACCGGAGCTCCTCAAAGGCGCTGGCGTACCTGCATACACAGCGAGCGGACCTCGTTGGTTCGTTAGCACTCCAACGCCCAAGTCAGCACCCACCTTTTATAGAGAGAAGTGAAAAAGAGCTCAGTGAGAGAGTCCTAACTGAGTAAATGAAGTTCACCTACTCTCATATTTATACTTGGAGCCTCGTCGAAGGCCAATTTTCAATACCATGGGTCAAAGTAAAAAGTATGTATATAATTAAGGCCAAACTAATGTATTAACACTAAGATAAAACCTTTCAATAGTATCCCTCAAATCATTTGAAATCAATTTATTAATTTTAGATTACGAGTTTAAACACGTGGGGGAGTGCATTATATCAGACAAAAAGTTGAAAAACATGCCGTCTTACTGTATGAATACACGCTGACATGACATATCACGTAGTAGTAGTAGTGTATATATTATATATTTGTGTCTGACACCAACAAATGCTATAAATACAACTATCAATGCCATGCACAACAATACAGACAAAACCAGCTCCATTAACTCAGAGGGGGGAAAAGCAAAAATGTCTCAAACACTTCAATCACTTGTCATACCAAGCGATTTGGCGGCTCCTACTTTCAGCCGCCGCCTGTCCTCTATTACTGATACTCCCATTGGTTCGTCCCACGAAGTACCAATAGCAGTCGTCGACGACGAAGAAATCCCGACGATCGACTATTTCTCGCTCTTCTCACCTGACCCTGCCCACCGTTCCGCGGCCCTCGACTGCCTCTCCGCAGCTTGTGAGCACTATGGCTTCTTCAACGTACGTATGCCAATTATTTGAGTTAATTGGTGAGGTGAAATAGAATGAGCGTAGACGTAATTATATGTATTCACTATTCATGCATGCGCGCAGCTTGTGAACCATGGGATTCCTGATCAAGTGATAGATGGTGCTTTGAGGGGGATCGCCGATTTCTTCGAGCAAACGCCGGTGGAGGAGAAGAGCAAGTACAGGAAAGGTGATCCGAGGGCTAGGATTCTTTGGGATGCCAGGTGTCACGCCGGCGAGAACAGGGAACATCTCAAACTCCTCGCTCGTCCAACTTTTCACTGCCCGCCTAATCCTCCATCCTTCAGGTACATACTCAATGGCGAAGCCATAAATCTAAATGAGGGGATTAAAAATTTATGCTGAGAGAATTCAAATTATCAAGGAGAAACTAAAGTCTTACCAATTATTATATTTTTGAAATTTATTACTAAGTTTTCATGTAATTTTACACGTTTTTCTACTGTATTTCTCAAATCTAAAGTCTAGACTGTCCTTTTTCTACTGTATTTCTCAAATTTAAACTGTACTCTTACTTTTTTTCTACCCGGCCAGGACCACTTTTGATGACAATGGAACCCAAGTGGGTATAGTCGCATTCTCTCTTTCAGAGAAACCAATCTTTATTTACAATATCTTCCTAAATCCTAATTACATCAGATGATGAACACGTTTTGTTGGCCATGTACAGAGAAGCATTGGGAGAGTACGAAACCAGATTCCATGAGGTGAAGCTGGGTTTAGCAAGGGCTATGTCCTTAGTCTTGGGACAGGAAGAGTCCTACATCGAGGATGCTTTCGATCTGGAGTCAGGCTTCGACGTGGCTGCGATGAATCATTACCCACCGAACTTCAAGTCGAAGGGCACCATGGGACTGGCTGAACACAACGATCCTGGTTTCATCATCTCCCTCGTCCAAGATATGGACGGCGGTCTTCAAATTCTAACCCACCAAGGACAATGGATCAACGTCCACATCCCTCCCAATGCCATTTTAATTCAACTTGGCGACCAATTGGAGGTACAGATATTTATATGATCAACAATTATTAAGAATATCATTCACTGTCCTTTTAAAACAAAAAATTGATAACCAAATTCGTATATGTATTACAAATAGGTCTTGACTAATGGCAAGTACAAGAGTCACATCCATCGCGTGTTGGTGGGTAAGTACAAGGCGAGGAGGATCTCGATAGGCACACTCCACGGGCCATTTATTGACAAATTTGTGGCCCCGGCTCTGGAATTCGTGGACGACACTCACCCACTAGCTTACCGTGGAATGACCTACTCGGATGCTTTGGAAGCCAATAACCGTTACGAAATTGAAGTTCAGTCATGCATTGAACAACTTCGAATTCCATCCGTATAAATGGTCATCCGATAATTATATCATATGGATGATGTATCTTCGATTCTCGAGGGTGTCTTAATTACATATACAAAAAGTAGATCTATTTGTAGAACTTCAAAAGTTTAGGTCCCAAAATGTCATACATAAAAAATTTAGGTACTAAAATATAATGTTTCATCAATATTTTGAGGACTTATGTGCCAAAAAAATAAATTTAGATTACAAATCTAAAGATATATTAAGTTTAGGTACCAAACTATAATTTGCATAGTTGAGACTTAATTCCTTTTATGGTGATGTATTTAAGATGATAATTATTTACTTTTTTATGAAAATGGAAACTATTATTTGATACATGTAGATACCTAGCCAAACATTCCATGTATAATTGTTGAAAATTCTAGCCCGGTTGAAAAGAAAAACTCTAGAGAGAAGCAAAGGAATACAAACTGGAATTCGCTTAAAATTTCACGCTTTCAAATCCCATAGTGGAAAATGATGACTTTCTAATAAGTAATAACCATATATATTTATTTATAATTGGAATCGACATTGAGCTGAAAAAGTTAGTGGTTCATGGTTCAATTATTAATTCTTTAGACGGTTGGTGAGTCGTGTATCGACCCGTTCATACTTGTGATTAGAATACATAAAAATTGAATACTAATTAGGGTTAAACGAAGAAGGCAAAGAAAGAAATAAAGAAAGGGTTATGGAAAGTGAGTGAAAATGAAACGAATATAAGTAGATGATGAAAGGTTTTGACCAATTCTTTTAGTTGGCCGTCAATACAACAGTCAACAATTTTCACCGTAGTAATTTATTGACACTTGCTTATGTGGATGTCGCATATTTTGTTACTTGTAGTTAGTAGAAGTCTGTTTAGTACCCCATAAATGTACTAACTGAGTTTATAAAATCGCTCTTGAAATATTTTAGAGTCATCTCTCTTTTATCATTGATTTAATGTTTCACTTAATGAGAAAATATAAAATGATCGAATCTTCTCCTACAGTTGAGTGATACAACATCTTGTATAGTACAAACTAAATTTATACTTTTATGTTATGGTGGATTGGATTCATCGATTGGTTCAAAAGGATTGGTGAATTGGATTCATGGATTCAAGTGAAATCTAAACATTGGACCAATATGTGAATTTAAAAATATTGTAGGTACGAAAAATCTCATAAAAATTTAGATACCAAAACCATAATTGTTCAATGATTTTACATTAAAATTAAATTTGGGGTATCAAAATGTAAAATGTACATTATAGTGACTAAGTTGTAATTTAATTAAATTTAGGTATCAAAATATAAAGTAGGCCAATTAGCTAGCTGAGCTTGGGCAACAGTGAACTGACTTCTGCTTTATATATACTAATGATCATCTAATTGATATATATGCGGTATGCATGACATGATAATTATGGATTTTCTTTCCCTATGAAACTCAAGTGGGTATAGTCGCATTCTCTCCTTCAGAAAACTCATCTTTATTTACAATATAAGTTAATTGCGGCTTCTGTTGCGGACATAAAAACATCCCTTTCCATGTCTTCGGATACAATCCATAAGAGCTTGCCCGTTCTTTGTGTATAAACCCTTGTGAGAATTTCGCGCAGTTTCAGTAATTCTTTCGCTTCTAGGACAAATTCTACTATTTGTGCCGCATAAAAGCCAGCAATAGGTTGATGGATGGTTGGTCATTGAAATTACAAAAACCGTTCAAGTTTGGTCACTCGAAATATTTAAATTCATTGGTGGTACTTCAGTTTACTGAAACCGTTCACGTTTGGTTATTCACAGTCCAACTCTGTTAACTTTAGCTGATGTGGCAGCCAGTCAACTCTCAAAGTTGACCGTTAACTTAGTGATGTGGCAATTAAGAAATAATAAATAAAATGAAATTTAATCTATTTTAATATCCAATTCATTTTTACCCTAAAATAAAAAATATTCATAATTGTTTCACAACCTTAATCTTCACCGCCCTTTACAACATCCTCAACGGCCTCCTCTTCGACGTTCCCATGCCCTTCCAGCCCATGAAATCCATCGCCGCCGTCGCCGTCTCCGAGACCCATCACCTCACTCCTTCCTAGATAGCCTCTGCGGCTCTCCACCGCCGCCACTCTCTTCATCCTGAGATCCACCGGCCTCATGTCCTTGCTCTACTGCTACCTCCCTCCCCCCCTCGTCCGCAGCGTCCAGCTCTCCCAAGTAGGGGTGGCTATACGGTCCGGTCCGCAGCGTCCAGCTCTCCCAATTGGCTTGAATTGATCCGGCCCCGTTCCGGTCTTTTCGAGAATATAAGAACCAAAGATTGGATTAGATACAGTCCGGTTTGATCCGGTCCAGTTTTGAACCGGTCTGGTCCCAATTCGGTCTTGATTTTAGATTGAGCTTGTGGGGGATTTGAGTTGCCTGAGGGGGATTTGAGTGGCCTGAGGCCTGAAAGGGTGAGGAGGTTAAATTTTAGGTGTTGGACTCTCTTATCCGGTTTTCGGTCCGGTCCCAAACAATTTTTTACCTCAAATCTAGGCCCGAAGATTGGAGTGGATTGGATTGTTTGCTATCCGGTCCCGATACGGTTTTGATCCAGGTTATACAATCCGATTTCGGGTAAAACCAAAAAGCCCGGACCAAATAGCCAGCCCTACTCCCAGGGCCTCTCCTTCGCCTTCTCCGCCGTCAAGTACATCCAGTTCAATCAAGATTTCGTCGTCTCCAAATCCACCACAGCCAGGTCCTGCCTCGGCCTCGACGACCTCATCCTCGCCCTCACCACCCTCCTCTTCCTCATCCTCATCACCGGCTGCGGCTCCGACGACGGCTGGTCGCGAATCGGATCCGGATCCTCTCCTCAATCCCCGCCGCGCTGATCGTCCTCCGAACTCCCACCTCACCGACCCGAACAACAAACTCGCCCCCACTCCCAAGCCCCGCCGCAACGACAACTCAAACTCCGCAATTCCGCGCTAACAGCAACATAGCCAAGCGAAAGTCACGCGCCTCCACTAATCCCGTAATTTCAATTCTGTTATGGGGAGTTTTAAAAGCGATTCAGGACTCAGTGGAGTAGGAAAGTGATATTTAGGATTTCAATTCCCCCTAGTTCATCTTTCAGAATGGAAGAGGGAGATGGTGAAGTGATGAAGGAGAAGCAAAGGAGAAGAGACGGGGAAGAATAATTATTAAAAATGATCACATAAATTTTTTATTTTATTTTTTTACTTTACGGTAAAAATGAGCTGGACATTAAAATAGATTAACTTTTATTTTATTTATTATTTCTTAATTGCCATGTCACAAAGTTAACGGTCAACTTTGAGAGTTGACTGTCACATCAGATAAAGTTAACGGAGTTGGACGGAAAGTGACTAAACGTGAACGATTTCAGTAAACTGAAGTACCACCAATGAATTTAAATATTTTGAGTGATCAAACTTGAACGTTTTTTTGTAATTTTACTGACTGCAATTAACCATTACAATAAATATATATTCATGATTATCAGTTGTATCTATGTGAAGCTATAGATAGCTATCTAGCTATCGAATGATAGTTCACTGTCGGCGATGAACACACTTTGTTGACTATGTACGTAGAGAAGCATTGGGAGAGTATGAAGCTGGGTTAGCCAGGGCTATGTCGTTAATCTTGGGACAAGAGGATCGATGTAACAAAACTACAACGAATTGCCCCATCAAAAGATACTCAGAATGTCCCTACTGGGACACCCTCCTCTCACCCCTCCCATTTGCACACTAGGAGGGGTTAAAGGACATCTATGGCAAAGTCACCGACTACAGTTTGGGAGGAAAACTAAGATAAGACAAGAGAGCTGGGGGTGGATTCGAACACTATCAAGTTGCGTGCCTTCCAAATAAGCAAGAAGAGGGCCACAAATCTCATAAATTCCATCCTAGACACATCACCTATATCCAAAAATCTAGGTCAGAATAGAACCAAACAAGATACCGGATATGGATCTTGTAAAGGAAGGAGCTCAGATGCCTCCCAGAACCTCCTTGCTAGACGACAATGAAAAAACAAGCGTTTCAACGTTTCCTCCTCGCCAAGGCAACACCATGCACCCTGTGACTGTGAGTAGTCAAGACAAAGAGCCAGATCCATCATGTATTGGTTTGGTGGGTAATAACAAGGTGAGGAGGACGACACTTACCCGCTCGCTTACCATGAAATGACCTAGCTACTCGAATGCTTTGGACGCCAATAATCGTTATGAATTGAAGTTAAACCATCCATTGAACAACTTTGAATTCCACCTCTTTAAATGATTCATCAGATAATCATATCATCTCGATAGGCACACTCCACGAGCCATCTATTGACAAATTTGTGGCTCCGACGCTGGAATTCATGGACGGCACTCACCTGCTCGCTTGCCATGGAATGACCTACTCAGATGTTTTGAAAGCCAATAACCGTTACAAAATTGAAGTTGAGTCATGCATTGAACAACCTAGAATTCCACCCCTTTAAATGATTCATCAGATAATCATTTCATGATGTATCTTTGATTTCCTTTTTGTTGTTCCCTGCTTTTCATTTCCCTTACAATGTTGGTTGAAATTAATTTTTGTTGAGTTGCGTAATGCAACACTGTCAACCCAACCCTTATAAGGGTCGATTTTATTAGACTAAATACGAGCTGTGTGAATGGCATTGATTTTGGTAATTGTTTCAAGAAGATTCCTACAGTGCTATAGCTTCTTTCTTATGTGGAACTATTGTATCTCCTCTCAGCTCTCACCCTCAGTAGCCATAAAAGAACACATAGCAGCATGCACCGGCTTTTTTCGATCAGGTTGCTGAAATAGCAAATAGATTTGAGGTCCTTTGAGAACTTGACTTCAGCTAGTTTTGGACTGCTAGTATTTGGTCATTATTCAGACTCTTAAGAGGCCGTTAAACAAGATCAAGATGGTTTATATTTGTTAAGTAAAAAGAACAAGAGAAACAAGAAGGGACATTATCCTGTTAAAAAAAGACACACACATGTTAGTGACAAGTTCAGAAGCACAATCCAAGACCAAGAGTCTGCGATCCCATCTCCTCTAAGCTAGTTGCTACACTTGATGAGAAATGCCAGGCGAGGTTGTGAAACGGAGGTTAGAGAAAAAAAACTGGCTCAGTATGTTGAAAGTTGCAGCTTTTGCTCCATGGTTAACTGCAGCTGCCAGGATCAGCAGTGGAAACAAGTCTTCTGTACCTTATGGCAGAAAGCATTTTGAAAAGACCTAGCTAATACGAAGAATGACAAATCGACAATCTTTGGAGGATAATCTAGAGGTCAATCCAAACTCAGCTGGTTATTCTGTGTATATGACATTAATTTTGGTAATTGTTTTCAAAAGATTCCTACAGCGATATCTCTCCATCTCCTCTCACTCTCGGTTGCCTATAAAAGAACACATATAGTGGTGCATTGGCTTTTTCCGATCAGGGTTGCGAATGAGGCAATTCATTACTTTCGATGATAAATTAAATGATGCATAAGCATCATAATGTAACAGATAAATTCTGTTCTGTTCTCGAGATGACAGATGGCTGGAAAATGGTGGCAAGGCAAGTATAGCTACTGGAAAACATGAATGAAAAACAGGGCCTCTTTTCCTTATTTTAGCAACCAGTAGCGCTGGAATGCAATAACTTGTTTGTTATATTGGGCAATAAGCACGCATTTTCTACAAAAGAATTTTAGCCCCATAAATAGAAAATATTTCAGATCTCTGTCAGCATGAGAATGGGAAGCCAAACTTGAGCGCCATTCCACTAACTTGCTCATTCATCAACCAAACCACCTCTGTTTTCCCCCTGCTTTCCAGAAATCCCATGTTTTCCAAAAATTAGCTAGCTCCTTTGTACTCCTAACTTGCTTAATCATCAACCAAGCCCACATCTAATTCTCCCTGTTTTCCAAAATTTAGCTCCATTCTACTTGTAACGGACTCATTCATTCATCAACCACAACACTTCCAGTTTCCCCTGTTTTCCAACAAAGAACCCCCCTGTTCCAATTGCAGCTTCCCCTCTTCTTTTTCTCCTTACTTGCTGCTTCAAAACATGGGTGCTTATAGATATTACTGGATGGGGTTTCTGTTCACGGCAGCGGTGATACTCTCCGCCGTTTCTCCGGCAGCGGCGTACCTCGCTACCACTGTTCTCCATTTGGAGAGGACACCGTTACCTTTGGGCTCCTCAGCTGGTCTGAAGCAGCTCAGAGCTCAGGATCGAGCCAGGCACGCCCGTATCTTTGACGGAGTCGCCAACTTCTCTGTCTACGGCTCTGCCGATACCCTTCTCTACGGGTGAGTTTCTTCTGCCGGTTCTTTCCCCCCGCTTTTTTGGACTATGTTTTTTAGCGGCAAAACATTGGACACAAAGCTCGTACGTCGTTTTTGATATTCGCTTTATTTTATTTTATTTTTCAAATCTTCAATGTACCAGTACCACAGGAATAAAAAGAAAAAGGAAAATCTTACCCTCCATTCCTCTTTCCCTCTTCCCTTCACAGCCTTCCGATCCGACCTACATTGATGCCTCTAATGTAATGAGATTCTTCCCCAAGTTAACAGCCGCCAGTGATGGCGAGTGTCTGCGCTTTATGATCCTCTCGGTCTCGGATCTTGTTGGCATATATCCCATCATCCGAATTAGGGTATCAATGGCGGTAGTTTTTAAAATCAGGGTTCTGGGTTTCCTGCTTGCAACCATTTTTCATGCGGACCTTTCATACTGTTTATAATAGTTAATTAGATACATGGATTCACTAGTTTCCTCGTAATCTTGGGTTATTTTTGTCAGGATTTACTACACAAAAGTCAAGCTGGGGTCTCCTCCGCAGGAGTTCAGCTTGCAGATCGATACCGGCAGTGATCTGCTCTGGGTAAACGCCAAATCTTGCGCTAACTGTCCACGCTCGAGCAGTTTCGGGGTGAGTGGTTCCTTGACGTATTCTTGTGTTTATGGCTTTGGATCAAAATCATGACATGAATTGAATTGTTGTTTGTGAAAAACCCGGGAATGCAATGAGTTGTAGGGAATGAAAACTGATCAAGATGAATTTTGTTTGTGAAATGACAGTGCGTAAGGAAACTAGTTTACATATATATATTATATGGTGCGAATGGGTGTTCTACTTCTATAATATAGAAAATGGGGAACAGTGTCAAGCATTCCACGCTTTGTTTTTCACGAAACAACCCAGCAACAACACCTATGATGCACACTCAGAGCTTCAGCCACCAGTAGGAAATCGTTCCTCCCCAATAACCCAGCTATATCGCTCTAGTTATTACCTAAACTCAAAGTTTATAATCCTCAGAGATTGTTCATTGCTTGGAATTTTAAATTACGAAGCGTCATACTCTTTTCCAAGATAACCTTCAAATATGCTTTTCTTTGTTCATGGTCAATGCATGATCATTCTCTTCATGCCAAGCCAATGGATGACTTTTGCTTGCTGTGGAATCTATCTCTTCATTCCATGTCAATGGATGACTTATGCCTGTTGTGATAAGGTTGAGATAAAAGTTTTGCTTCCAACAAACTAGTGGCTTGATTTCGTACGCTGCACGTGGAATCACTATTGACCCATATTTGTTCTATGTTTTGCAGATTGGCCTGAGCTATTACGATGCTGCTGCATCTTCCACCGCCAAGGTGGTCCCCTGTCCGGATAAAACTTGTCCAAATCGGTGTACGAAGAATGGTCAATGTGGCTACACAATAAATTATGAAGATGATGGTGTGACCAATGGAGTTTATGTGGTAGATAGGGTCAATTTGGATTTCATTCGGCCAGACTCAACCATAGCCACCTCCTCAGCAGCTATCGCGTTTGGGTAAGTTATTGTGCTGCTTAGATCATAGAAAATGGATACAATACACGACAAGTAATGCTGGATTACTTGAAAGATGGAGGCTTGCTTATAATGATAGTTATATTATAGACTTAAAGTTCAATTTTAGATAATTTAAAAATACAATATATTAGAGATAATTTCGACTTGATGAACCTATATAGAACGAAAGCAATACTCACAGTTGACTTATTACCATTTGCAAGTCAAATAATATTTGTGCAGAACAAATCAAAACTTAGATTAGATCAAAATTGGGATCGTGATTCGTCGCAAGACTATTTGTAGGGTAAACCGCAAAGAAGTTTTTACTCCGGTCCCTTAATTAGATGGTATGACCGTAATCATGTAGGTTTGAGTCTTTCCCTTTGGCAATTGGCACAATTCTGACTTTCAACTGTTAGCGTTAGTAATAAATCCTTATCTATTTGGTTTTCTCGATATAATAAGACTTTGTATAGTTTTGTTCAAGCTTACAGTTTACAACCATATCTAGTCCAATACAGAATCCTCTGCTAAAGAACGAGGCAAATCTAGTCCAACCAAATCCATGCACCCTTTGGTTCTGAACCTTTATTCCAATTGAACCTCCATTTAAGTTAAATTGGATAATCTCCTTGCAATCTGGGAATCTTCAGTCAAACAATTTTCCTTGCACCTCTTGCTTCTTGTTTTACTTATACGGAAGCTTATTCGATAAGAGTTATTGGACAGTGCTAGCACCTACCTGTCTGGTGCATTAGGTGATTCAGCCCTTGCTGTTGACGGAATCTTCGGACTTGGGCAAGGACCTCTCTCAGCCATCTCACAGTTATCCTCCAGAGGAATAGTACCGCCAGTTTTCTCTCTTTGCCTGAAAGGAGAGGGCCTTGGCGGTGGTACTTTTGTTCTGGGAGAGATAGCGGAGCCGGGGATGGTCTATACTCCGCTTGTCCCAGCACAGTGAGTACTTTTCTTGACTATTCAATTGGGCTAATGTCATTGAAAATTATATCATTTATGATTCTACTGCAATTATTTGTTGTTCAACTGACTGGAAATTCAAACACTAACACAACTTCCTTTCTATAAATTCACAGGCCTCACTACAATTTATATCTGCAAAGCATTGCCGTGAACGGAGAGTTGTTGCCTGTCGATCCAGCTGTCTTTGCAACGTCAACTGGTCGTGGAACCTTTGTTGACAGTGGGACGACTCTGGCATACCTGGTGGACGAAGCTTATGAACCATTCATACGTGCTGTAAGTAAAATTTCCTCCCATTACCTTGTTAATTTTAGATTGTGGGTTGCCTTATGCAAATGGTTTACATTTCAGAAGCATGTGTGTACAATATCAGTTTTCTGTTGCTTTTTGTGTTCTGTTTGTTCTTCGCTCTTAGTTGGGTGGTCAAGGATCATTCCTCTTTGTTTCTGAATAGACCTTCATTGCCTTGTTACATTTTCATTAATATAATTGCCCACAATTTATCAAACCAAAATAGAATCAAGAGGAAGAGACTAGAAAAGACACAGACCATTTGACAGTAACTTAGGGCGAGTTAGCTTCTGTATCTTAATTTCTGAACCCTAAGACTTATCTGTGGCTTTTCATTGAATCTAAAAAATGTTGCAACAAATGTCCTTTTTCCGTGAGGCTACGAGGATTCTGATGACCAGACATGATTGGAAGCAGACTACACTAAACTTGTGATTCTTACATAGTATACTGGCTGTATCAGTTGGGAGCCTATTGCAATTACGACTTGCAAGAGACTCTTGAAGCATAATTAAAAATGCCAAGTAGTAGTCGTATAGGTAGAAATAACTGTGTTAGAATATTTTTGAAACGCTTGAAGCATCTGTTATATGTTCTAAAAACTAATATTGCAATTGCAACTTGCAAGAGACTCTTAAAGCATTATTAAGAATGCCAAGTAGTGATCGCATAGGTAGAACTAACTGTGTTAGAATACTTTTGAAACTCTTGAAGCATCTGTTATATGCTCTAAAAACTAATGACTTTGTTGTTTAGGTTACTGCTGTGGTCTCACCATCGGCGACTCCTAAAATAAGTGAGGGACACCAGTGTTACTTACTCAGTTCTAGGTTTGACATTCTACCATGAAATAATTTGTTTTCACAATTATGTTTATCATGAAAAATTCTCATATGGGTATTTGGGTGCTTTATGTTCATAATTCGCACTATAACCTCAGAATGTCTTCCTTCATGTGCAGCGTATCTCAAGTTTTTCCGGTAGTGAGCTTCAATTTTGCCAACGGAGCTTCTCTCGTATTAAAACCTGCTGACTACCTTTATCAATCTGTTGTAAGTTGTAACAGTTCTAACTCTGACTATCTGTTTCTTCTGCCTTAATTTATGGAATTCACTTGTTTCTCCCTGCAAAAGTCTAATAGGCCATATGTCCTTGTAGAGGTATGTTAGTGGGATGTGGTGCATAGGCATCGTGAAGAAGCCTGGAATGACCATCTTAGGAGGTTAGTCTACGTATCATTTTATTAGAAAAGTTCGTATGTCTTCTTCCAATAGATGTGCTGCAAAAACACCAAACTAATTGGCTGGCTGATTAAGAATGTTCCGCTCAATATTCTCATTTCGATTGCATTTAATTGTGCTGCAAAAACACCAAATTAATTGGCTGATTAAGAATGTTCTCATTGTTCTCATTTTGATTGCATTTTCTTGTTCTAATGTCCAGATCTTGTTCTGAAAGACAAGATTTTTGTGTACGATCTGGTCCATCGGCAGATCGGATGGACTAATTACAATTGTAAGTTCAATAAAATTATTTGGAAAATCTTGTTTCCTTCCTTTTGCCTATTGCTTTTGGTTGCAACTAGTATGCCTGACGCCTGACCAGCTCCTTGTTTCTTTGCTCATCCAGGCTTGAATGCAGTAAATGTTTCTGTTCCCAAACAGCGGAGCTCAAGCTGTTCTTCGAGAGACATGCTGTTGATGTCGCTGCCTCTGGCAATCACCGCTCTCTTCTTACAAATATCATCGGTGATCGGGATCAAGACAATGTAATTTATACACATTGTATATACACATTCTCTGAACGGTGCATATGGTTTCTTTATATTGATAGGAAACTTCCACTGCATACTGGCCAGAACATGATCCAGGGAGTTCGGTCCCTGGATGTTAATACTTCCTTTTTAATGAATGGCAGAATCTATATTTCCTCAAAAAACAGCAATGTTTGGCCACCAGCCAAGTGAGAAACTGATTTCGAGGTACAGAAGGTCCTTCCAAACCAGTTTCCCCCAACATACCAGTGACTGTTTCTTTCTGAGTATATCCCACCCAAACTCTCTGGATCTGGAACCTAGGCATAGGACCATTATTCCACCAAACTTCATCCCCTCTAACCTGGAAAAAAAAAAAAAAAACTAACCAGTGCTTTAATCTTAATAATTTTTTGCCATTTCCAAAATCCACTTTCCCTGAATACTGCCATCTTCATTTCACTTCATTCGTCCTCCCAAAAACTTCAAACCTCGTACAAGCTCTACCTAACCCTTAATCATATATCTTATTTCTTTCCGTGTTATCTTAGAATAACGGTCCCCTCAAAACTTAGATTAATCTACCTCCACCCGAATGTCCTACTGTTCTTGTATTCTTCCCTTCCCCAAGAAGGCGAATAGTCTTTTTAATTAGTCAATGCAAATCAATATTCAAATCCGAACTAGTTTTGGACCCAAGATACGGAAAAAATCCAAAACTACCCCTGTTTAAAAAAAAGATTACAAAAATACCACCCATTCCCAACAATTTCCAAAAATACCATCGTTTATTTAAAACCGCGCCTCCAATGAGCGGTTAACATTGAAACCGCGCCTCCTGGCAGCGGTTTACAATATAACCGCCTCCTCAAGAGGCGTTTTTAATTTCCAGCAAAAACCGCTTTTGGAAGGGGCGGTTATATACTAACCCTACCACAAAACGCTTCAAGAGGGAGCGTTTAAATGTCGGCATGATAAACCGCCCCACCAGGCGGCGGTTTACCATGTCCAGACATAAACCGCTGCCCCAAGGCGCGGTTTGTGCCTGGTCACCCGACAGCAAACATGTCGGACATGTCGGACAGCAACCATAATTACTTTTCATTGTCCTTTATGATTTTATGTTAGTAACTTAATTACTTTTCATTGTCCTTTGTGATTTTATGCTAGTAACTTAATTACTTTTCATTTGTCATGTCCCTCTTGTATTACTTTTCATTGCAGATGGCATTCCAAAGGTTCACGCTTGGGCTGTGGTGGAATGGTTACACGGAAGAGACCGAAAAGGGTGTAAGTTACGTCGGTGGCAATTTTTATAAAATGAAGGTCCGTACGAGACCGATGCTTAAAGAGCTCCATCAAATGTGCACTCAGATTACCTGCATGGATGGCACTAGAAGAGTTGATCAAATGGTGTACTTAGATGATGAAGTGTTTATAAGAATGGTTTAGTTCCATCTTCATTTATCAATTTCAATGGAAGCTTTATTGGCAATTGCCCATAAATGACGTTGGGTTTAATTAATTTTTAATAATATAAAATTAATTAAATGCAAGGAAAATTATCGATATCCAAACCATGGTAAAGGAAACCGTACCGGACATCATACCGGATTCCTTTCTGGTAGGGTATTTTGTGGTACGACCGTGGTTCAACCGTTTCGTACCGGTAAATACCATTTTTGTAATAATAAAATATATTTTTTGTCAAAAAACCGTGTCGGCAAAATCAGAGTACTGTCTCGGAGTAATACCGTATGTATCGGGATATACCGGACAATAAATGAAAAAAATACAAATAGTTAGCAAATTAATAGAAAAAAGAAGAAATTTTAAACAATAATTATTTTTTTATAAAAAACTTTCCCATCATTTAATAGTTACTGATCCTCCACCCTTTCCCCATCTTCCGTTCTTCCTCTCTCTCTCATACATACTCTTTTTGTTACATTTCTCATTTTTAGAGAATAGTGAGGTAAGGTTCTAGAGACATATGAGGGGCAAAAGGGTCAATATGCAGAGGGTTGGTAATTATTTCTAGCAACAAAAAGCCTAAACCTGATTTGCTCTTAGATGGGCTCGAGCGATCAGCTGGGAGGAGATCAAGGAGGACGATCATCATCAATTGTACCTTTCCGTTCGCTTTTTACTAGGGGATTTAAGCTGCGCTACACAGCGGCTCTAGATGGGCTTTTAGTTTCATTGTTTGCAAGCCCATATACAATCGATTCTATGCGATGAAATTCATTCTGTGTCAATTAAATAGGGGGAAAGTGAAAATCCCTCAATTGACAGCTAGCTTGTATCCCACCGCTGCCTCTCCATCTCTCTATCTCTTATCTACCCCTCTCTCAATCTATTATCTATCCATTCATCTACTACTTCAATTTGGCTCGAGCGAAGATGAATCTAAAATGGGAGGTCTCCCATCCCTAGGTTGAAATAGTAGGTTTTGGTATGAATCTTACCTTTTCGTTTTTTACAGAGTGGAAGAAAATCCTCAATGGGGCTGCCATGGCACCAGAACTTGCAGCAGGAGAATTGGATTCAAGGATTCCTCCATCTCTGTCATCTCTGTTCCTGCATGTCCTTTGTGTAAGGAAATCCAAAAGAAGCAGAATGCAGTTAGGGGTAGATCAAACCATTCCCATCAAATTTGACTATTTGGGAAGAAGGTCCATGAAACGCTTACCATTAAATTTCTTCTTTCGTTCCTGAGGTGGGTCTTCTAATTTGATCGACGATGAAGAAGGGGAAAATACGAAACCCGATAAATAGATTTAACAGTCTCCATGGCTCCCCTCTTTCTGGCCGCCTCCTTACCTACCCTCTTCTCTGACTCTCCCAACTTCAACCCCCCTTTTCTTCCTTCATTCTAGAAACCAGGCAAAACAAAATTAAAGAAAGAAAGGATGCCAATGTTTGACAGCCCAACAATCCCAATCTCCTTCTATCTCATCGTAGTCATCTTTCTATTCTCCAGTCTCTTTCCGTCTTCGGAGAAAGAATACGGTGAAAGGAAGCTTTCGATCTGCTTCTTCCCCTCTCATTAATGGCGACAAGGATTAGAATTTTGCTAATTAGTTAGGTTTTGGAGGCATGCATGCTCATCTTTTCTTGTCAGATTCTGATTTTAAGTAAATATTGGGGGTTCTTACCCCTTTTATTTTGGGTTTGGTCTCAATGATGGGAAAGGAGAAGAAAGAGGGTCGCGGGCCGGGGGGAACCTTGCTGACGACGAACATGGTGGTGGTTCTGGTGTCAACGGTGGCGAAGTAAAATCCTCCTCCCACAGCTCGTGATTTTTTCAGCATAGTCCGCGCTCCGGCAAAAAAATGTTATGATTTAAAAAAAATAGTCAGCACAGCTCGCGATTTTCCTTACCGCCGGTCTAATTTAAACCGGGTGGGATACCGGAATATGCCGGTTACGCCGATTATATCGGCCGACACGGTAGAAAAGGGCTGGTAGGGGTGCCGTTTCGTCATTGGCCCGATTCCCGGTTGAACCGGCCGGTACGATCCGATTTCCTTTACCATGATCCAAACAGACATGACGGGTCGCTGTGGAATGAGGAATTCCTCCTTACCACTCAGGAGGACGTTGACGCCATGGTCCAATTTTTGACCACTAATAAAATTAAGCAAGCGGAGATATTCGTTTACACTGAGGCCGTCGAAGGCAGTGTAGGTCATTCTGGAGATGGCCATACATCTGGTATCCACGGTGGGAGTGTATTATACGAAGATCATCCCCACCAGGATTTCCAAGACTCGAGCTGGAGGCAGGAGTATCATCATGGAACTGGAGGAAGTCAACAATCCTTCCCTTCATATGAAGAAGAAGCTCAACAGGGTAAGGTACACTCCGATTATGCCACAAAAATAATGGAAAAAGATAATCAGAAGAGCTCTCGTCACACAGTCACTGTGATGAATCGAAATGATGGCGAGTATTCGGTCGAAACTGGGTACTGGGAGGATGGGAGACGTGGGGGTCATCGCCATGAAGTCACCATCAACTTTAAGACTAAAAAGGGGGAGTGCTCTTGTCAGAAGTATCAGGGTAGAGGGATACCATGTTCCCATGCAATGGCTATAATAAAGCACAGGAGCAAAGACCCTCGTCATTTCGTCAGTCCGTTCTTCAACATTGACTCACAAAAGAGCAGTTATCGTACTAGTTTCCGTGCATTGCCGGATGAAGCTTACTGGCCAGTTTATGAGGGTATGGTCATCATTCCACCAATCGATCTTAGGCGGGAAACAGGGCGCCCACGGGTAAAAAGGATTCCAAATGAGATGGATCAAAGTGGAAGACCACCGCGAGGGCCAAGGCCGTGTTCCATATGCAAAGTACTCGGTCATGATAAATGAAAATGTCCTGGACCAATTGGTCCTCAAAATCTAGGGCCCGATGTGGTGAACCCGGATAATGGCGCTTATATTGATTTCATCGTTTGTTCCATCTTTCTGTATTAATTTCAATGGTTACTCTACTTGTATTTTGTGTGCTTAAATGACATTGGAGATTTGCCCAATTAACAAACTTTGATGCAATTTTCCATCTTTTTGAATAAAACACATCACGAACACAAACACACTACATGAAAAACTAAAAAATAACTTCAACTAAAAACAAATTGTTCAACTTAATTTAAACAAAACATAACTTGAAATAAACACAACTTATCACACTCATGCATTATTTCGACGATTTGCCCTCTGTTTCCTTGTGCGATGGGCGACTGGTCCATCGGATGTAGCTGATGGTGGGACGGGTGGCAGATTCCTATTCGCCGTAGAAGGGCGATCCTCCGTGCTATGCCGCCTCGGTTCCGTGGTAGGTGGCCCCTCCGTCTGCGGTCGAGGGCTATCCACGCTCATACGGTGGGGAGTGGACTTCCATTGTTGTTGTGGTCGATTCAAAGGTGAGAAGTCTTGGTGGGTAGTGGACTGCCATTGTTGTTGCCATTGTTGTTGTGGTCGATGCAATGGTGAGAAGTCTTGGTGGGGACTT